TCCAGCCAGTTATGTCAATATTTTGCACATCTGTACTGGTTGAGAAAGACGAGATTCCCGAATGTAACGGAAGTGAATTCTGTTTTTATTACTCATCCTATCTATGTTTTATACAAATAATTCTAAAAATTATTTTTACAGTTTTAGAAGTGAAGCATTGTTTGAGTTTCAATATGTTAATCACTGGGGTATCTTTCCATTCCATGCGTAGATATCACTGGAAATTATCAAATTTAGACTCCACTTACCAAGAAACACAAAACACTCATTAAAAATCGTAAATCAGAGAAGAAAACAATAATATTTTAATAACTGGTTTTAAAAAGTGCCCTATTTAATACTCGAACCAAAACTGTTTTGCTATTTTTCAGTCTTGCGAAGCCTGTCTCACACATGGGATTACATCGTGAACTTGACATTATTATGGATTATACCAATATTATTTTCAAATACATCTTAAAGCCCTCGGATAACCCAAAGTTTAATACGAAAAGTGAAATGGACGCTTGAATTCAAACCTAAATATTTCACCAATATTTGAATTAAAGACAACAAGAAAATGTGTTTTTTTTTATAAGTGTGAATAATACAGTTAGGATAAAAACTATCGTAAAGTAGAACCTTACAAAACAGAGGAAATGTTATTGTTCTCTCCATCTACTCAGCTCATCCGTGCAGACACTAGTACAGAGAAGCATCGAAGACAAATAGCATTGATCCTTAAATTAACTTGATTCGTCATCCGATGTATGCCTTGTATTATAAACATTATGTTCCATCTGTTGACGTATATTATTGTTGTACCAGCTAGTGGGGAAATTAAAAAATGCTTGTTCTATTAGTCATATACGTGGGACAGTATACAATAACAAACTATTTTAGATGTCTATTCAGTGGCACATATGTACTGATCTATGGGCTTATAACGCTAAAAACCGGGTTTCAATACCTATGGTGGGTACATCACAAACAAACAATCATAATCTATTAATAACAACATCTTCCAAACAGTGACCTCTGGCTAATCAGATACAAACCATACACGAACAGGTCATCTTATTAAGAATAAAAAAATCTCACGACATGTTTTCATTGAAAAGCGTTTGTGTTAACTTATTTTTTGTATTGGGCGTGCGGTGTGAGCTAAACAAACATAATATAACTGGAAATAGCCCAACAGAAGAAGGTTTCTTTGTTTATTTGTTTGAAGTTAAGCACAAAGCTACACCATGGGCTATCTGTGCTCTGTCCACCACGGGTGTCAAAACCGGTTACTAGCGTTGTAAGTCCGCAGACATGCCGCTGTGCCACTGGGGGGCATAGAAGAAGGTCACCAAGGGATGTACTGGCGTGTGGTGAGAGCTAAAAAAAAAACATAATATAACTGAAATTAGCCCAGTAAAAGAAGTTCACCAAGGGATGTACTAGCGGGTGGTGAGAGCTAAACAAACATAATACAACTGAAATTAGCCCAGTAAAAGAAGTTCACCAAAGGATGTACTGGCGTGTGGTGAGAGCTAAACAAACATAATATAACTGAAATTAGCCCAGTAGAAGGTCACCAATGGATGTACTGGCTTGTGGTGAGAGCTAAACAAACATAATATAAATGTGGCACATCTGTACTGATCTATGGGCTTATAACGCTAAAAACCTGGTTTCAATAACCGTGGTGGGCACATCACAAACAAACAATCATAATCTATTAATAACAACATTTTCCAAACAGTGACCTCTGCCTATTCATTTTCCTCTGGAAACCACCAACTAAACTAGCTTACGTTAGCCCTATTCACTTTCCTCTGGACACCACCAACTAAACTAGCTTACGTTAGCCCTATTCATTTTCCTCTGGGAACCACCAACTAAACTAGCTTACGTTAGCCCTATTCACTTTCCTCTGGACACCACCAACTAAACTAGCTTACGTTAGCCCTATTCATTTTCCTCTGGGAACCACCAACTAAACTAGCTTATGTTAGGCCTATTCACTTTCCTTTGAAAACCACCAACTCAACTAGCTTACGTTAGCCCTATTCAATTTCCTAAGGAAACAGCCAACTAAACTAGCTTTCCTCTAGAAACCTTTAATTGAACTAGCTTATGTCAGCCCTTGTCATTTTTATTTACATTCGAGATATTCCTAGGATTTTGATATAGAACAAAAAATGTATTTTGGGAATTTAACTAGAAAAAATTTTAGCAGTTATTAAACACGTATTTGTAGCCACTTATAAACAAACATTTCGCGTTGTTATGTTTGTGAAGAACATTAGTTATTTTCCAGTTATTTAATACTGGGTTAAGTATCAGTTATGTTTCTCTGTGTCAAGTATCAGTTATTTCACATTGTATTAAGTATCAATTATTTCACATTGT